GAGGAGGGGGGGGGGCATTCATTGTTTTTTGTACTTTGACTGGGCACAGTATGCTAGTACGCGCCGGCCACCACACAGCCGGGTAATCTCGTTACGCTTGGTGTTTGTTCCCGTCCGTTGTTGCGGCTTTCCTGTGGCAACCATCAGCCTCCCACAAGAGCTACTAAAAACTCGATTCATGGACCGGCGGGACTGTATTGGGCCTCTCGCTGCTTTGTATATTCTGCTGAAAAACCCTCGTGACGTCAAAACTCGAGAATAGGTCTTCACAGGATAAAAACACAGGACTGTTAGCCTGCGCCATCCTCGGACAGCTGGGGTTGGGCAGGTAGGCCGCCGTTGTGGTCCAGCCAAATTCGAACAACCGGAAGCAAGCAGCAAGCGAAATCAGAGTGCCTTTTTCTTTTTTCAAGGTGATACGAATATGCACGCCCTTAGGTAGTGAACGAACAGCGGACGAGGCGCGTCCGTCTCTGCCAAGAGGCGCCCCCAACCCACGCTAGGTGACACTCTGCATGTTGGCACTAGGGCACGTTGATGATAACGAACCGTTGGTCCTTCTCTTTTTTTTTGTGCCACAGAGAAAACGAGAGAGAGGTTAAGTCTAGAAAAGACAGGCAGACAAGCTTATACGCACACCCTGTGCATCAACGGCAACAACGACCTCCAGCCTCCCCGCCGTGTCGACTAGGAAGGGCCGCCCTCCCCCCCCACAAAAATAACGGGGCAGCCCATAAGCTACGCGACGAGCCTTGTAGAACTGTGTCGGTTCGTTAGTTCGTCTGTGCTTGCGTGCGATGATGGCGGCACCAGAGAAAGCGAGAAAGAGAGAGGAGCACGACGAGAGAGGAGGGCAGAGGGAAAAAAGAGAGTGCAGCAGCGTGCAGCAATCTCACGTACGCGTTGATACGCATGCAGCACGACAAAAAACCGTCCGGGCAGTGCCCGAAAGCTTGGTTGGGGGCTGGCGATGGTGGCGGCAATGTCATGACTGTGTGTTGTGTCTTTGCTGTTGTGAAGGCGGTGATGTTTGCTGCAAAAGCGAGGAGAGAGGAGAGGGAGAGAGGGAGATAGAGAGAGCAGTCTGTTCTTCTCGGAACACAAATATATACTTGGAGCTCTGGAGCCCCGAACATATTTTTGCTCACGATTCATGCATTTTTGCCCAACAGTCCCCTCCGACATAAAACTCGATCCACCCACTTTTCGGGCTCGTCCACTGGTTTCATGCATTTTTTCGAGTTTTAAATAACTCTACATTCATGTGCATATGACTGCTGCTAGGTCCTTGAACCAGGAAACAAAAGGCCGTCGGAATCTTCAACACTCAAGTCCGTCAAAATCTCTAAAAAAAAAAAGAAAACGATGAAAGAGGTTGTCGGCACTACCGCGAAGCATAAAAAGTATGATTATTTGCATCTCATCAACATGGTGTTCTGTCTGTTAGCGTACACGAGCCGACACACACAGCGGAGAATGGACTCACCGACCCCCCAGCTTCGTGAAACTCGTCGGCTATCATCTGCAGCTCGAGGCACAGCGTTTCCACGGAGAGCACGAAGCTTGCCTTGTGCGCCAGCAGCTCTTGCGACAGCACCGACATCTTGTCCTGGAGGAACAAAGAACAAGAAAAAGCGAAGGGAAGGGAATGAGAGAAAATAAAGGGAGTGGGCATACATAGACAACACAAAACAAAAAGTGCTTCTGAGGTCGGATACATGATACAAATAAAAAAAAAAAAAACATTACACGGATTAACCTCTGAGACAAGTTACGGGTTTCGAGGAACAGAGGATTGGGGGACATGATCGTGCCGCACATCGACCACCGACCCCCAAGGGTGGGGTTGTGGGTCCAGAAGAAAGAAATGGCTTGTGTCGAACATCGCGATCGCAACCCTAAAGGCTCCAAAGCGGGTTGGGGTAAAAGTACCAAACGACCGATAGACATGTCACGTCCATACACCTCCGCCACAGCCACCCCCACACAGCAGCACGTGCACGTACAGGTACCCCCCCCCCCCCCCCCCCCCCCCCCCCCCCCCCCCCCCCCCCCC